GGACACGGGGCCCCGGGAGCAGGCCCTGCCCCCCCAGCGCCTGCTGCTGGCGACCGATTTGTGCTACTGCTGGTTACCGGGAAGCCCCTGGGGGAATGGGATAGAAGATTTGGGAAAAGGGAGGGAAAAAAAATGGGATATTGTGCAAATGCAAAGAGGAGCGGGAAGGGGGCAGCGCCGGGGGACGGTTTAGTGCTTGGAGGGCTCCGGAGCGCTGGGGGCAGCTCCCGGGGCCGTGGGGCCGGGAGGCTCCGTGAGGTATCCGTGACCCTAAGGAAGGACGGGGGAAGCACAGGGAAAGGCAGAGGCTTTCGCAGCCACCGTCTCGTACCGGCCCCAGCACAAGCAAAATTCATCAAGAACCTGCCAGGAGGAAAAAAAAAAGTCCAGACTTGCTAAAGGACCCAAAAGGCTGCAAAAAGCAGCGCCCCGGCCACGTGGGAGTGCAGGAGCCACTCGGGACAAGCAGGAATCTCCCCAAGGAGCGCACGGAAATGACTCTTTCCTGAAACAAAACCCAAGTCTTCCTCTCGCTTCCGCGGAAGCCGCGGACGCGAGGAGACGCGGCGGTGCCGGGCAGGCTCCGGTGTCTTCGGGGAGGTTTTTGTAGCAGCCGCTGACTGGAGAGGGGTTTGCCGAGGCCTCCAGAGCCTCTCGAGATCGTCAAAAACCAACCCCGGACACCGAGCGATGCGTTAAGGCCAGAGGAGACAGTTGCTGAGTGAAGAGAGGAGCGCGAGGAGGGTCCTGGGGACCCGACGGCGCTCGCGGATGCTGGTGAGGAGAAATCCAGTGGGGAGACGTAGCCCTTGGGTGGCGGCCCCAGAGCGCGCGGCCGGGCGCGGTTCCCGGGGGGATCTCTGCCAGGAGCCGGTGGGGACGGAGGGACGCGGCCCTCGGGTGCCGAGACGGGGCGGGATGGCGCTGGGGACGTCCCCCCGGCGCCGCTCCGTCCCTGCTCCGCTCACACCGAGGTCTCCGACTGCAGCCTCATGACGAACTTGTGCGACTTGGGGTCCACAAACTCCTCGGAGAGCTTGAAGAAGGGGATCTTCTTGGCGCTCACCACCAGGCTGAAGTCCTGGCGCTTGAGCACGAAGACCACGCCGTCCTTGAGGCCGTTGGTGACCGGCTCCTCGCTGACCAGCGTCCACTGCTTGGCCAGCCAGCGCTCCTTGTGGTACTGGATGGTGGGCCCGGCGCTCAGGTACCGCTCCAGGAAGGCCTGCGGGAAGCGGGAGCACAGGGACATCACCACCATGGACCAGCGTGTTCCCCCATCACCTCATGTCCCCCCGTGGCAGCCCCAGGAGCTCCCAGGGCTGCACGTTTCCCCGGTGGGACACGTTCCCCCGCACCCCGCGTCCTCGTTACGACGCCAGCGAGGCGGGAGGGCACCTTGGGCGTCATGTCGTGGGTGATGCAGAACTCGAGGTGCTGCAGGATGCTCTCCATGGTGTGGTAGGGCTGCTGCTTGGTGGTGCGCAGGTACTTCTGCATGGCCCGCGCCATGGAGGCGAAGATGGCCTGGGCGGCCTCGCGCGGGTCCATGATCTCGCGCGGGTTCTTCTGGTCCTCCTCCTGCAGCCGCTTGATGTGCGTGAAGGCCTCCTCCACGGCCACCACCAGCCTGGTGGGGACAGGGACAACGTGTGGGGCAGAGCCGGGGACGTGGGGGGACCCCCGCGCCCCCCGGGGACATCCCGGGGTCCCGCTCGTGCCCTACCTGGCGCGGCGCTTGCGCACGCGGCGCTCGTGCTCGGCCTCCTCGTAGTAGTACTCGTTGTGGCTGTTGTCGCGGCGGCGGGCGGCCGCTGTTGGCGCGGCGGCGGGCGGCCGCGGCGATCACGGCCCGCGACTGCCCCGTCGAGTTGTTCGTGCTGTTCTCTGCGGGGAAGCGGGGGCGTCGCGACGGCGCATGGAGCCGGAGCCCCGGGAGCGCGACACAGGAGGAGATGGGACAAGGGGGGATGCGGACGGGGGGGAAGGCGAGGGGAGGCCGCTCACCCTCGCCGAGGGAATAGACTTTGAAGCCGGACATTTTCTTGGACAAGACGGACTTGGGCAGGTTGAGCAGGGCAGGGTTGTACACCGGGAAGTCGTGGTAGTAGTTCTCCAGGATCCACACGGCCGCTCGCTGGATGCTGCGGGAGACGCGGCGGGGGACACACGGCGGGGTAGCAAGGGACGGGGGGCACACGGG